TGTGTGTGTGTGTGTGTGTGTGTGTGTGTGTGTGTGTGTGTGTGTGTGTCCGTACTCTGTGTGTGTGCATTTGGGAGAAAGAGACTATGTGCTTTCCGTACATAATAAAACATATTTTTGTGGCAAAAACAGAGAAATAAGTTGTCATTTTTATCTTGTTGTTTACTATATTTATTTCCTTGGTCAGTGTTGTGGTGGGTTATAGTTATTTTGCTGTTCTAGGCTGTAAGGACCTTTAAAATAACAGAAATCACTTGGCAAACTGATATGGACATGTAATGCGGTCAAGACTTGACTGGAACTACTTAAGCCATGCGTTTCCCTGAAAATAACTGCACACCTTGGAACGTTTGCCAGCCAATCAGATTCAAGCATTCAACAGCCCCGTAGTATAAGTTTACATTAATACACTACCATTCAAATGTTAAAGTCAGCAAGACTTTTTTAATACTTTATTTAGCAAGAATGGATTATTAAATTAATAAAAAGTGACAGCAAACATTTACATTGAAAAAAAAAAACATTTAGTTTTTTTTTTCTTTTAAAATTTCTATTAATCAAAGTCTTTGGGGGAAAAGGATCATGGTTTCCATAAACATTAAGCAGATCACTGCTATTAAGACTGATAATAATAAGAAATGTTTATATTAAAATGATTTCCAAAAGAACATGACACTGAAGACTGGAGTAATGACTGATGAAAATTCAAATTTGCCATCACAGGATAAATCTACAATTTAAAATATATTAAAATAGAAAGCATTCATTTTAACGATTCACAAAATTTTGATTAAATAAATGCAGCCTTAACAGGCAGACACTGACCCCAAACTTTTAAACGGCAGTGCATATAAAGTATTTCAATATTTGCCTTTACTTTTCATCAACTAAAATGTTATTCTTGTCAATTAAACTTTAAAGACATTTTGAAAAACTGACTAAAATGAATATGATATTACACAATAATGACCAATTTAAAAGGATATTTTCTTCAAAAGCCATAAACTCACTAAAACAAAAAGAATGTCAAATTAACACTGTGATTATGGTGTGAAACACCATAAAATTAAAAATAAATTAAATAAAAAATGTGAAATGCAATGATCACAAAATGCCCTGTGTATGGTGTACAGATCTCCTTTAAGGCAAAACTGCGGAGATCAGAGTTTAGTCATGCCCCTGGTGCGAAAGCTTGAAGTGTAGAGTTCAGTGACGCTCTATTAAGCTTGACACACCAATAAATGCTCTTTTGAACTTTAATTTGGGGGAGAGAAGACTGGGCAGAGACTGTGCTATTTATAGAAAGTGCAACTTGAGAGGCAGGTGTCAAGGAGAAAGGGAAAAAGAGAAATATTACAGAGGAGAAGAGACAGAAGAGACGCACGTACAAGCACAAGACATATGCAGTGGAAAGGAAAGTGATATATCGAAGACAACAGGCAGGAAACAAGATACTTCATGCTTCATAGAGTGCTAACTTAATTTATTTGATTCAATTACACGTAATATGTGCCTGGTAAAGAAAATATAAATCATATGTCAAAATATAGCCTATAAGAGCAGAACGACTCTCATCATGGAATGTAAGCAGAAAATGTTACGCCGCTTTATGACAAAATGTCAACGCACGAGTAACACACATGCCTTTACAGTGAGGAGATGGCTAATTATAGTCCTGCAGGAGTGTGGGGCTGTACCATTGTCTGAGGGCGTGCTGACAGACAGCAATGACTAGATGGAAGAGGTATATATTCATTTCAAAGTAGGAATGTCTTGGAAATCACATGGCATGAGTTCATGGAGAACCCAAGCCCTTCTGCTGAAACAGTCTATTAATCATACAGGCGCTCTTATGTGTTCAGTTATGGAAATGCCAATACGCCACGCTGTATCACTTACCTCACTGTCATCTGATTAGTGTAACTGAAAGGGCGTGAGTGTGTTTGTTTTTCTCCTGCCTTCTTAATGGCAATCCGTACTGAGTGGCGCAAATAGGTACACTATTGATTGGGGGAAAGAGTGTAAGATAATCGTTAACTTTGATTTACAGTACAATAGGAACAGAACAGTATAGAACAAAATGAGTTTGTGGAGCACAACAACTCTGTGCTACTGTAATTGATTGTAATCGATCTAAGCTAGTGATTAACCTGCGGCCCTGATGGTCCATTCTGGAACTGTTGTCAATGCAGTTATTATCTTATAGGTTCACTACAATGAAAGATGTTCAGGCAAATTAGTAAGTTCTCAGGTGGTTGGGGAACATTGAAATTTTTATGCACACATAACTTCGGTCATGCCTGTAATGGCTTAAACTGGAAAACATTTTATTACATATATGTCAGACCCAAGGACAACATCACTAAATAATTACATTATACAGTACATTACAGCCACTTCTGGCCCTGTGGACTTTTAAGAAATAAACTCCCTTAAAACATTTGCCACACTGTGACTAGTTTATTAAATGTGTTATTTTCCACAGTGACTATTTTATTAAATTATATAATTATAATATTTTCCACAGTGACTATTTTATTAAATTATATAAACATGAAAGTCAAACATTTTCACCACCATGTTATTTCCACCAAATGTCAAATTAGGCTATTTGGGCTATTAGGCTACTGAGTGATGAACATAACATCTTTGAACTAAACTGAGTAACGTCTTTTTTTTTCTTTTCTTTTTTTGACGTAATTTCAGACCTAGTATACACATAATATTTTCACACTTTGTGCATTTTATTACCTTCACTTTCTTTGTTTTCTGCACACATCACGTATTATATGCCTCATTATATCACAAGCATATTTTCCAGTCTTGACTGACTCTTGCCTTCTTGGTAACCAAGTTCCAAGAAGGGGAAAAAAACATGATAGAAGCGTAGTAAAAACGTTTTAGAGACAGTTTTAACAGGAAAAGTTTAAATCTGTGTAACATTTATCTTACAGCGAACCATGTTTATTGCAGACTCGTGATAAAGTAGCCTAATCATAAAGTGATATCTAAAAAAAAAAGACCACTAAATGTAGATTATAACCGTGGAGAAAAATCCCTCTCATGAACTGAATAAAAAAAAATGATGCGAGCAGCGACTCCTACTGGTTCAGTGGTTCATGCTGCACAGAATTCAGGTGTAATTTCAATTTCGTACACAGAGGGGGCAGTACAGCACTTATTTTCTGGCCACTAAAATGAACCAAATTTTGTGCAATATTGCAAATAAAACGCATAAATCAGCATATTTTTTAATTTTGGAGATAGACAACGTTGACTAGTGTACCAAATAACATTAAAAGTTAAATCAAAAAAGTACATTTGCAAGTTAATACATTAATTTAATCCAATTCAAAATGAGAAAGTGATGAAAAACACAAAAGACTGAGTCCCGCTATATTGCTCAGGCTGCACTGCAGTGTCTATTCACAGGCGCGATCCCACTACTGATCGGCACGGGGGGTTTGACCTGCTCCGTCTCCGACCTGGGCCGGTGCACCCCTCCTTAAACGACCTGGTGGTCCCGGGCTCCCCCAGAAGCACCATATCGATACCGAACTTAGTGCGGACACCCGATCGGCATAGTCCACTGCAGCCCAGAACCCCTGAGCTCAAGCGGTCCGCCAACCTCAGCCTCCCAGCAGCTTGGATTACAGGCGTACGCCACTGCGCCCGGCGAGAAAGACGAGGCT